TAAATAAAATTGATTGAATTGATTGATTGACCTGGAGCGCTGTTGAAAATTTTTGCAATGTGACTCCCAATTGGTACCTTCAGTCAGCCATATTTTGGAACCCTTGTCTCCAGCTGGGAGGGCGTCCTATTTATTTTTCCAGCTGGGCAAATAACGGTATATTTACACTTGCTGATATCTTTGGGGCTGAAGGTCTCCGCTCATTCACAGATATTCACAATCTATTTAATCTACCTGGTTCCTCCTTCTTCTTTTATCTTCAGCTGCGCACAGCAATGCGCACGTATAGGGTGCCCTGGGATGTTACATTAGGTTTGCATGCTTTACATAAGGCACTGATTGGGAGTAAGGGTTTAGTTTCTGTGGTTTATGCCATCTTGATACAGGCACCAATTAAGCCACTTTCCCTTGACAGAGTTTGGAAGCAGGACCTCCCATCTGATGACAATATTCTGGACTGGCACTTGATCTGGCAAAACTTGTCTTTATCTTTCAGAAACCCTAATCACTGAATTATTCATTACAAGTTCATACACAGGTCCTAGTTCACTCCACACATTTTGTTCAAATTTAAAGCCTTGCCCTCTCCTAATTGTACCCTGTGTTCTCAAAAGAGCTTAGGCACTTTTTTCCACATGGTTTGTGAGTGCCCAGGTGTTGCAGATTTCTGATAGAAAGTTTGTAGTGTGCTGTCCATAATATTGTCAAAGCAGATTCCTTATTTGCCTTCTATCTTATTACTTAATGACTCTTCCAACTTGGATCTACCTGTTAAACTTAAACGCCTTTTGCTGGCTGTCCTTACTGCTGCTAAAAGGCTGATAGCATGCAGATGGAAACCTCCCCATTTGTTATCTTTAAAGAAATGGTTGTTAGACTTCATAGATATAGCCATCATGGAGCGTTGGGCAGCCAATTTGCATTTGGCCAAACCCGACAACATTTTATGTTGGGATGATGCCATCACCACTTTAAAATTATTATTGTAGCCAACACTGGTTCTTCTTTGGGTCCTGTGGGTGGGTGGGTTTAGGGTAGGGGATGTGGTACTCCCTATTACTATTGTTACTGTCTTTTTGCTATTGTTTTTTGTTTATTTTTGTTTGTATTTATAAGGATCCCCATTAGCTGTGCCTTAAAGCAGAGCTAGTCTTCCTATATGATCATACCTTTTTTTATGTTTATTACTGTTTATTATGTTGTTATTTTGGTTTAATCATTGTGTGCCACATCTGTTTTATAAAATGAAAAAAACAATAAAAAATTGATCACAAAAAAGGAAGAACAGTAGGTGGCGCTTCTTGTGAAAAATGAACAAAATAAAACACCCCCGTAGAAGAAGAGTGCGCCATGAGATGACGTCATAAGAGAGCGTCTTATGCCCACTGTAAACAACAACACACTCAACTGATACTCAACAACTGACCATGGACAGATTCCTGATAAACCTGTCGGCTCTTGGGAGAACTCTGGTTAGCATTTTGTCAGCGTTCACAGCGTACCTAACCATCTTGAAGAAGAGACGACAAAGAAGAACTTTAATGTTAAGAGTACTGTTGGAAATAGCTGGAAGGAGACCACCGCGTAGTTCTCCGTGTGTATGGGAACGTAGGCGTGTGAAGGACTTTTGGGAAGTAGTTGTCCAGCAGCATTTCACTCACGAACTCTGGCTGAAACATTTCCGTATGTTAAGGGCCACATTTGAGGATCTGTGTGCCGGTGCGTCATCGTTTATTCGCAAAACCTGTTTCCGTAGCAAAAAGTTGCATTTTCCTTTTAACGATACGCTGACAAATCCACCCCCTCCAAGCGTAATTTTTTTGTGTGAATTTTCGGCGTTTTTTCGAATTTCTGGCGTTTCCATCCAAGTTTTTTTTCGCATTTTTTGAAAATGCGAATAAAAATAGGTGGATGGAAACCCCAGGCGCAGTAAACGGCTTCAGCTTCCACACTCACTGCTCCTCCTGGTGTATAGACAGACCAATGCAACTGGTTTCTACAAATTAAACTTAGGGGCATATCCAGTTGGCCCCGTATTCTCTACGTCATCGTGGGGGATCTCATTAGAGCTACGAGCCCAGCCAGGTGACGACAGGGACCTGTCACGGATCAGTCATGGCTCCACCACAGACCAAACAGAAATTTGAATTGGCTGCACCTGTATGACACCAGTATCATCACTCTAGCTTTAAAACTCAGGCCACTATAGCCTCTTAAAGAAAGGAGTGTCGGCTGGGATTGCTGGTGGCCGGTAGGTCTCAGAGCTTTAATCCATTAGTTGTCAACTATTAAATTAATGGTCAACTAATTTGATAATTAATTGATTGGTTTGAGTAATTGTAAAGAAAAAAAGTCAAAATTCGCTAAATCCAGCTTATTTAACTGTAAATATTTTCTGGTTTCTTTCCTCCTCTATGATAGTAAACTGAATTTCATTTCACCTGATTGACATTTTCACAATTATCAAACATTTTAAAGACCAAAGAAAGAATCTGTTAAGTGATATACATTAATTAACAATGTTTGCTTTTTGTGTTTAATGAGTTGAAGACAAATTTTCACCCTTATGATGATGGTATAGATATATTCTACTGTACTCTCTTTGGTCCTGACATTAATGTCCATAGTACATCATTTACTTAACTGTCTTATCAGACCATTGACAGCTGGGTTAGAGCGCTGCCTTGCCAGCTGTCTAGCTGTTATTTGTGGTCAGCCTGCTATAGACACACACTGGCACACACTGAAACAGGCTCACAGCATGCCATCCAGCTGTTGCTGTGTCTAGTTGCTCTTTTCAAACTACACTTCGGTCCATCTCCAGTGTTTGCTGCACAGCCTGAAAAACAGCCTAATGTGTGAACTACAAGATAGATGACAGGCGCAGTTCTGGCTCAGGCTCAACTGTTTGCCTCCCAGCCAACTGATGATTACTGTGCAGCACGTCATTACCACTGAATACACACATGCACACACGCACACACACACACACACACACACACCCCACAATGGCAAACAAACCCAATTTGAGTTGCAAAAGTACACATTCAGGTTACAGGATATCCTGTACTGTATGAATAAAATAAATTGTAGAAGAACATTGACAAGTGATAAATGTTAAAATGTGTTTGGCTTTGTCACAAATACAAAAGGCTCTGTTAGTTTTTTTTTCCTTATCCGCTGTGAAGGTCCAAAGGACAGAGGGATGTTGTATGCTGTAAAGCCCTCTGAGGCAAATTGTGATTTGTGATATTGGGCTTTATGAATAAAATTAATCAGGTGGTGCTACTGTGACTCCAGACTTCAGCAGTAGACCTCCTAAACCTGTATCGACTCTTTATCCCTATGGCTTAACGTGGACAGCTTTGTAACTCAGCTGCTTCAGACATTCTGATAAGTCGGTATCTCTCTTTTACAGTGAACATGTCTGCAAGATAATTCTCTCGTCACATATATAACATGTCATTCAGACCTCGGCCATGTGTCAAACAGCTTATTCTTTATGTCTAGGGCAAAGCACAACACTTTGCCCCAGGGATGGGTGATATGGCCCTAAAATAATATCAAGATATTTCAGGGGTTTTTTTCGTGATAATGATAGTCTTGACAATATGACCAATTAGTACAAAAAATATATATATATATTATTAATTTAAGAACAAATAATTGCAACAAAACAAATGATACAATACTATTAGGTTGACAATGTCAACCTAATAGTTTGCCTTCAAATATTCTGTAAAAAATAAGCAAGAATGATCTCTCATTTCTTCAGTTTGTAAACAACAGTAGTAACACAGAGTGAGATTCAGATTCTATTTACAATATTAAAAGTACAACAAAATAAAATCTACCACAAATTACGCATTTAAATAGCTCTTAAATACAGCAAAAATGTATCCAGGGATCTGTTTATATAAACCAACAGGTGATTTCCATCTCCTTTAGCAAAATCCTAAATGATTGAGTTGTTTTTTTCCCCACCTGGACTTTTATGCTTTGCCATTTCTCCCCTAATCATCACGCTGTAACCTGTGACAGCCTGCTATGCTATAACTATTGCACAATAACATATATGCACTTTTTTGTTGAGTCACGAGTGACACGTAGGTTTATCCTACTAGAGGTTTATGACAAAATGATACCGACTCCCTTGTGTGCATGGTGAGAGAGGAGAGGGAGGGACGCTGTGCTGCTGTCGGCCAAGCCGCTGAATGAGTTCCGTCTGAGCAGTAACTCGCTAAAAGAGTCTGAGAAGTCTGGGCCAGTTATAAAACATGCAGGACGCCCAGACCTAATGACGCCACAGTTTATTCCACACCACTGAAGCTGCACCTGTTTTTGGAACAGCCATGGAGTTGGTAATAATTTTGCTTTCAGCCATGCTAGTTGTTGCCGTGCCTAACAGTATGACGTCAATTTTAACAATACTAAATATCGCAAGTATCACAATATAATTTTTTCCTATGATACTAAAACTATATACCAGTATTATCATGAACGAGATGATGTGGCACATCTCTACTTTGCCCTGTCGTCTGACATGTTGTAATCCGTCAGGAACATGTGGAAGGTCGCATCAGTTGCAACACACTCATTCTGGCTGGAATTACATGTTTTATTTATTTGCTTTTTACATAATAGAACCAGAAGATGCGAAATGACAGCCACACACATTTGAGTATCTGTTAATGTTACACAAATATCTCTTAATACCATCTGCTTTCTTTGACTGCTGTGGATTGCGTTGATTGCTACTTTTGAGATAAGAGTAATCTTTGTGAAGTGATATCTGCAAATATGTGTGCTGCAATTAAAGCATGTCTTGTTGGCAATGAAGCTCGTAAAAAAGATATATAAAAAGATAAGTGTGAGCTGTGTCCTTTCTCCTTCTTACGTCAAGCTGAAACTGAACATGCAGGTGTCATTTCAAGGGGGTGTTTGATTTTGTTCTCTAGTCCGTCAGACCTCAGTGCTGCTCTTATGTTTCCTCTCTGCAGGTACAGAGCTCTCACATTCATCCTCACCTTTCTGCTTTACACCAGCTTCCACCTCTCCAGGAAACCCATCAGCATTGTCAAGGTACCTTATGTTCATTGTTACAACTTACTCTTTAGAACACATACATGAGCTCACGTGCATCTGCATTTACACATACAGTAAAACACCCTGAGTGTTTCGGACAATGATAAAGTCCAGTTTTAAACAAAAGTCTAAATTCAATTATTATTTCCATTGATAATAATATCATTTAGAAGCTGGGCTTTGGCTTTGTACAGGCAATTAGCCTTTTGTGGTCAACCAGCGCTGTTGACTATGATTCTGACAGTACAACAGCAGCTCACAGCAGCAAAGTGTACTATCAGTTATCTTACATGAGATAGTGTGTGCTCCATTAGACAAGGTTGAGGTGAAGGTGTGTCTGCCCTAAGCCACAATGAGCAATACTATACAGATATTGTACACTGCAGAATGTGTATGGATGCAAGAAGGTGGAAACCTGCAACATAACACCAAGGGCCTGTCCCAATACCCACACCCGTAAACTCATCAGCAACTCAATTGAACACAGCGTCAAAATATTTAAACAAATCAACTTGAACAAAATCGATCAGAACTAGAAGACGTCGTAGGCGCCTCCTGTTTTCAGCATTTCTTCTCCGTTGATTCATCAGACAGAGAAGAATAAACATAGCACACGCCGCAACACAAGCACTGAAGCCTGCATTTTCAAACCTGAATGACTACCAGTATCTTGCGTCGCTACTACGCATGGCGTATGCCTGCACATCTACTATGCGTGACGTATGCCTGCGCGTCGGCCACACTGATTTGCATGAAGTGGTGTCCCATAAGGAAAGATCTCCCTTTCAAGTGGAAGATTTAAGGCATAGAAAGAGCAAAGAGCAAAACAACTGATTTAATCCACACACTGTCTGCCTAATGCTGCAGTCATACTTCAAGGTGTTGGGATTCACTGGACCATAGATGATTTGTCATTTGTACAGATCTGAACGGGACATGTGAAGGCTTTCCCTCCGAGTCTTGCCGTCTGAAATGGTGGCTGAGACTTCATGTTCTTTGTTCATCAAACAAAGGACAGCCATTTGGTACTCATGTCCACAGGATGCCTCATGGTCACACTTAAGTGAGAGTCTGGTTCCACGGACGCAGTTTTCAAACTTGACTGGGCACTATTGTCACAGTGACATGTGGCCCTATGATGTCACCAAGCCAGCTTAAGGAGAAACTTCAACTCTCCATCACTCTCTTACACTGAATCTCTGAAGGGGGCCCTTGCTCTGACTCCCTTGCTCTTTTCTCCTGGACCTCGACAGAGGTAGGACATAGGCAGGAGGACCTGCTTCACCTTTCTCATGTTCTCTCACCTCTGCATGCTCACAGCAGGGGCTGCACCTGTGCTCTCAATATGGCCTGCTCCCAGCAAACACAGAACCCGAAGACCAGAAAAGTTAGTGTGCCAAACAAAGGTTTGCAACTAACTTTCCAACAACAAGGAGAACCAAGTCGAGTTAGCACCAGACCTCTAACTCTGCAAGGATACTGAGTGACCGGACTCCTTGGCTCTGCACCTTTGGAACCAAGGACACAGCAAAGATTGCATCTGGAATCACAGTTCTTTCCGGCCTTCAACTGCTGGCTAACAAAAGCAGCATGCCACAAAGCAACTCTTACCTACATTCAAGGATTGGTAACGTAACAACTGGGCATAGTTGATTGTGATTTAATGCTGTACCGTTGTGATTGTTTGCAGTTAGGTTAACTGGCCTCACCATAGCTAAGTGATGTTCGTTTGCTAATGCTTTACACAGAGTTTTGCATGCAACTAGATATTGTCTGTACTAACCCAGACCCTTTTGCAACACATCGCATACACAAAAATAAAATAAATTAATAAAAATAAAATAGATTTATTTTTTGCCCCCATGCTTTATTATCAGTGTTCAACATGGGAGAGGGCGACGGGAGGTCGGCCACTTCCAGAGAGTGGAGGGGGAGAAAAATAATAATTAAAAAAATAAATAGATGGATGGATGGATACATAAAATGAATTAGAAAGATCTCTCTCTCTCTCTCTCTCTCTGACTTTTATTTTTTTCATGTTTTATTTTCAGTGAAGAGAAAACTAATAAAAAAAATAAAAAAATAAATGAATGAATAAATAGATATATAAAATGAAATAGAAATATTCCTCTCTCTTTGACTTTTATTTATTTATTGTACGTTCAGTGTTCAGTCTCCCTGAGAGGGGAGAGGGACAACAAAAGGATTAACGACTCACATTGTGACCTTAACGATTCTGAAACTAAGAGCTCACATGTGACCCCTACGACTCTGCCAGGGTCCATACCCACACAGGGTTTAAAGCCTGCAACTCTGTGATAAAATTAAATAGAAAAATGTCTCCCTCTTTTGTTTTATTTATTCTTGTTTTATTTTCAGTGTTTAAGACAGGTGAAGGCAGCGGGGGCCTGGGTTTGGGGCGGTCGGGCAGGCCACCGCCATCACGTAGTGAGGGAGGTACGTGAGGCAGGCAAGCAGGCAGGCAGGCCGGCCGTTCTGCCGCTGTAGCCGGAGTATGACGGTAATCACAAAACCAATACCGCCCAGCCCTAATAGCAACACTCAAAGAGGAGATTCAGAGTTCTCGTTTCATCTCCTTATCTCCAACTCAAATCATTGTCACGTTATGTGCCCTTATTACCTTTTTTATTTGCCTTCTTACTTATATTTTTATATTTCTTACTTATCTTTTTATATTTTCTTCATATTTTTATATTTATTATATATATTTGAATTGTTTACATGGGCTCTACCGGGACCTGAGAATCGAAATTTCGTTCCACTGCATGTAAATGTAATGTGAATGACAATTAAAGATCCTTGAATCCTTGTCTTTGTCCTGGATGACCACACGGTCAGGCAAAACCAGAAAGATGCCATCTTTGATTCGGCCATCTTGTAGTTTTCTCTTGCCAGCCATTTTGTTTTGTAGGCCAGACGGCCCTTTGTTTCGCACACCCACCTTTTTGTCACTCTCTTTGGCATACGTACACACTCACCCACACCCACACACACACACACACACATATAAACACCCATGCTTCTGTATAGTTAGCTGATTAAAATGTGTGTGTTTTGTTTTGCTTTGCTCTATTGTGAATAAATACTTTTGGAATCGTACCTGCTGTCTGTTTAATACTGCACAAGAGTGAATGAATAGTCAACCGCTCCTGTGTCAAGAACTCTGAAATCCTTCAACTTTTACTGTTAATATGGTAACTTTGGCTATAGTTATTGATTTAGCTATTAATTAGAGTTCCAAATTGATAGTTAAGTGTATTTTATGAGACTGATATCATTAAATAATTTTTCCGTTTTCAAGAATGGTGCCCCACAAGGTGATTTAATGTAAATTAAGTCACGTTATTTAACGTGACCTTGCATGTCACATTCTCGTGAAAGTGATATCTCAAGAACACCTGGAGGATTTCTTTTCAAATTTCGCACAAAAATCTACTTGGACTCAAGGAAGAACTGATAAGAATTTGGTGGTCAAAGGTCAAGGTCACTGTGACCTTGCATCGGTCTCATTTTGTTTAGGGGGCGGCAGTAGCTCAGTCCATAGGGACTTGGGTTGGGAACCGGAGGGTTGCCTGATCAAGTCCCCGTCCAGACCAAAATATGGAGCAAGGCACCGAACCCCCCAACCGCTCGGAGCGCCTGTCATGGGCAGCCCACTCTGACATCTCTCCACTTAGTGCATGTATAGGTCCAGTTTGTGTATGTGTGTGTTCGGACCTGTGTGTAATTGACAACAGAGTGAAAAATTGAATTTCCCCTCAGGGATTAATAAAGTATATAAAATTTAAAAAAAATAAATTAATTAAAATTTACGGGATATAAGAAGGCCTTGAGGGAATCTCCTCAAGTTTGACACAAACATCCACTTGGACTCAAGAATGAACAGATTAGAATGTGGGGGTCAGAGGTCAATGGTCAAGGTCACTGTGACCTCACAAAATATGTTTTTGGATCTAATTCAAGAATTCATATGCTTATTATGACAAAACTTCACACAAATTTCTAATAGGATATGATGAAGGGATGACCTTTTACAAAAGGTCAAAGGTCAGCTTCACTGTGACATCATACTGTTCTGCATAAAACACTTTTCTGTCCATTACTCAGCATCATAACTCAGGAACAGAAGGGGAGACTTTTGGTCAGTTACTGAATTGGTGACTCTAATCTTGACACAATGCTGTATAGATCTTCTGTTCTGCTAGTGGGAAGATGTTAGTGAAGCATCCGTGTTTTCACAGACATGGATGTAAACTGTAACTCCAACTGACGGGTTTGCATACAATTGCAAGGCATTTTTTCTCATTTTCTGTTATGTTATAGACCAAGCTGTTTTCTTAACTTTACTGTTTATAGATGCAAGTCCAAGTTCTAGAACCCAGCAGTCCTCTCCACAGAACAATCAGACATTATAGAAAACAGTACAGAGGTCACTTCTCTCAGACATTGTCAGACATAAATATATCCTGATGTTATCATATGATAGAACAGGTATTAAGAAAGAGCCAGTTGGTCATCTGTTCAGCCCAGTGGTGTCAAATTAGTGAGTATGTCATTCGAATGATCTTCCCCATTCTTTTGATATCCCCTAAGAAATAAACCTTGTATGGATTAAGAACACAGGTTTAGATGGAATATTAACATCTCAGGCACATATTTTTCAGGTCATATTGTGTGCCTGTTACACATCGTTTTCTGCCAGCTAAACATGGTGCCCTCATTGTTTTGTATTGACAGAGCGAGCTCCATAAGAACTGTTCATCTGTCAGTGAGCTAGCCACCATTGCCTCCAGCAGCAGCAGTAGCAGCCAGCAGCCCTTCCTGCCATCTCTTCACACAGACATGGACTGTAGCTGGAAACCTTTTGGTTTGTGTTTGCCTGACTCCTGTGTTTGTGTGTGTGTGTGTGTGTGTGTGTGTGTGTGTGTGAGAAATAAAAATGTAATGTGCAGAACATGTAGAAATGCACTGCACTGCTGCTTTTATGACTTGTTTTTTGCAGCTTTTGTCAGGAACAACCTGACCACATAAAGACCAATAAACACAGCTGAAGATGAACTACATCTGATGTGCTGTCCTGAACACTACATCTTTTCTTTATATTGTCAGATAAAAGGAACTACAGGCAGCTGCTGGGAGCCATGGACTACTCCTTCCTCTGTGCATACGCAGTGGGAATGTACCTCAGGTAAGATGGCAAGAACAGGAGGGCAGTTTGATCCATAGCAGAGGTGAATAGGTGAAGAGTAAATTTACCAAAGTTTGTAAATGTAAGAAAAGAATATCAAAACATTTAAGAACAAAAAATAAAGATGATTCATTTTGTTAACTGTTTACACCCTTATATAGCTTCATGAAAAAAAAAACACCAAAATGCAGCCTGTATATGGATACATTATTTATAAGGAAAACCACTTGTAGATTAATGCAGAACGCAATTCTAATGCTGTCAGAGCAGCCAGACCACATTTAGAGGTGGTCAAGCATTGTGATTGGATCTCAGCCATCTGTATATGCAGTCTGAAGGAAAAAAACTCTTTCTGCTTCTTTCTGTTAGCTTCAGCAAGTCTAGCAAAAACTACAAGTACCAGTAGTCACGAGCAAGTCTTCCTAAGCAAAAAGTGATGACTAGGTTGCTATTATCCAGATAACCTATCCAGATACAGATCACATGAATTTTGATACCAGCGGTGCCCTACATTAAAACCTGGTAATTAAAACCTAATTAACAATTTGACTTGTATTTTTTTTTGTATTATTATTGTTTTGGATCTGGTTGCTGTACGGTCCTGTAATTGATAATGGACTCCCTACCCCCCAAACTGTATTTATTGGGTTTCCAGACAAATAACAGTAATGTAGTATATCTAGTTTTAAATAAGGCTTTACGAGAAAGTAAAACAAACAGGAGAACTAAGAAATGACATAGTTATATGGCAACTATAAAAGTTAAACATTTAAGTGTGTGTCTACATACACTTGAGTATATGAGGAGTATGAAACATCACAAAGCAAATCATTTCAATTGATTTGGTTAGGGACATTAAAAATTATCTAAGAGTTTGTCAGTCAGGCATGGAAGTAAACGTCAGGTTATCAGCATATGAAAGAAAATAGTTGCCATGTCTTCTTAAACCAGCGCATGATCCTCACAGTGTACATCTATTTTTTTTCCATATTAACAAAGTAGAAGAGATCTCTAATCTAAGAGTGATGAGCTTCAAATCCTCCACATCATCTGAAATTGCTGTTATGAAGATGACTCTGAATAAGACAGTGATTACAGGTGGTTTGACAGAGACAGAGATAACTTGTGAGATTCTACTTAATATTTCCAAATAAACGTTATGCAGAGAGGAGTGTGTTCATAATAACGTGTATACAGGTAGCCGGAGGCTGACGACATCGGTGGTAGACAGGATCAACATCCATATTTTACTGATAATCTGACCTTGTAGTTAAATGATAGTGGTGAAGAACCTTACATTATTGCAACCTGTGCAGTGAGCCCGCCGCAAACACTTAACCCATTCATTACCTTCAATTTCAAAAAAATGTAAATCATCCTGCCCACGGAGTTTTAATAGTGTGCAGTGACATATGGTTTAGTGAGTGGATGAGACTATACGAAGCAGAGATGTACCTTCATAGTAAGTAGTGAGGTCACAAAGGGGTCAACACTAGTAGCCACTGCTAAATTAGGAAAACTAGGGTAAGCATTTCTAAAAAAAAAAAAAAAAAAAAAAAAAAATCACAAACCTGTGCTAGGGGAACAAGAAAAGAGAATATTGCCTGAAATTATTTCCATAACCTTAATGATAATTTAGTTATGGCATTTTTTGGACAGGGAGAGACTTATGCCTGGTTCATGCCTGTCGAAGTTGCGATTGTGGAGTCACAAAATCTTGCCGTGACTTGGCCGACAGACATGACAGACTACACAATGGTCCATTTCAATCATCCCCGTTCGTCTTTCACAACATGTGTGATGTCATCAGGTTATTCTTGTCCTATTTTTATTATCATTACTAATATTTCAGTCACCGTCTGTTCATGTGCCAGCTGAAATGTTGTTGTAGTAACATAAAAAGCACCACCAGATGGCAGGAGCTACATTTGATGTACCGCATGCATACATGCAAGTCACTGAATCCTCTGCAACAAGTTCCTGCAAATGTTTCACAATAAAAGCCTTTTTAGAAAATGCAGAGGTTCTCTCAATCAAATTTATAAGGAGCTTTTAATTTTATACAGATACAGGAAGTGTTGAGATTGAAATGACAGCGCAATGCATTAACTTTATCAAAGCAAACGGGAGCAGATAAAAAGTAAAAATATAAAAACATGAAATAATAAATGACGGACTGTTTATAATGTCTATTTCAAATGAAGCTGGTAGCCTCTGCAGTTGTGGTAAGTAAAAGCCCCACAACATTTTTTTTAGTTTATTACTTTATATCCTTCTTTATGAAAGCTAGCAAAGAATGTTTTCTTTGCTAGCTTGATGCTAATGGCACTACTTACCAGGTTGATAAAGTTCCTCTGCTGTTTCACCCCATCCCTTTTCCCTTTCTACTCTCTTGTGGTAAAGTCTAGGGCTGAAACGATTCCTCGGGTTACTCGAATAATTCAATTACTACGTGACAAATTAATTGCATGTGCATGTGCGCCCAGCTCCACAATGACTGAAATATAAGTGCACGTGAGGCTTTATAAATCCATACGCTCCATAAGTATAACATCCGGGCGTAAAGGTACCTTCATATAACTTAAAGGGATAGTGCACCCAAAAATGAAAGTTCAGCCATTATCTACTCACCCAAATGCCGAGGGAGGCTCTGGTGAAGTTTTAGAGTCCTCACAACACTTAAGGAGATCCGAGGGGGGAGTGGGTAGCAGCACAACTGCACACCTAATGGCTGACGGCGACCCAGATTGAAATGTCCAAGAACACAGAATTGAAACCACAAAATATCTCCATACTGCTCGTCCATAGTGATCCAAGTGTCCTGAAGCCCAGAAATAAAAAGTTGTTTGGAAAAACGTCATTTGAACTCTGTTTTTAGCCTCATTGTAGGCTGTAGCTCTAACTGCCTCTCTGTGGACCGTGTTCACGTGTGCGCGCGAGACCAGCGAAATCACGTGAACACACATGAAGGCGGTGCCCATGTCTCACGGTCTCGCGCAAGCACTCACACGTCAGCGCAGTGTACACAGAGGCAGTTAGAGCTACAGCCTACAATGAGGCTAAAAACAGAGTTTAAATGACGTTTTTCCAAACAACTATTTATGTCGGGGCTTCAGGACACTTGGGTCTACGGACGAGCAGTATGGAGATATTTTGTGGTTTCAATTCTGTGTTCTTGGACGTTTTAATCTGGGTTGCCGTCAGCCATTAGGTGTGCAGCTGTGCTGCTACCCACTTCCCTCTCGGATCTCCATAAGTGTTGTGAGGACTCTAAAACTTCACCAGAGCCTCCCTCGGCATATGGGTGAGTAGATAATGGCTGAATTTTCATTTTTGGGTGCACTATCCCTTTAATCAAGCAGCCAGCGGGCAGTGAGTGGCTAACAGTGGTCCTGAGCAGAGTCTTTGTAACCATGGCAATGATGACGCTGAGTGACAGACCTGCCATTATGTGACATTGTCCTCCACAAATCCTGATTTAATATTTCTCCGCTATGTCTCGTGTAAGTCTTTTGGTTTAATATTTCTCATGTCATTCATAGCAGGTGAAAACATAGTTTATGCAGTAGAGTATTGTGTGCACAGAAATATGGGTCAAACTGTGTCCCATATTGAATCAGTAAGGGACAGTATACATTTTATTTTTCAACTTGGGACTATCCCATACTATACGAGACGGGTGACGACCCTATCGTCTACATGCCTCAGTGTGGCGCTGGTGTCAGTCACAGTACTTATCCTCAGTTTTACTATCCTTGCTTTTATCCAGACCATTTATCCAGTGTGCGTGTGTGTGAGAATGCTGGTGCAGTGTATAAGGTGCGTAAGGAAGAAAGACAGGGAGAAAGGGGTGAACAGTAAATAACTATATACAAACAAAACAAACAAAAAAGGAAAAAAGAAAAGGGTTAACTGGCAGAATAGCACTTCTGCTGATAGTACTACCTATATACCTATAATGCCCAAGGAGGGTGACAGCAGCACATCTGCCCCTGCCACCGGGAGTGGAGCGGAACGGGAACGGGGCACTAGAGTGGGCTGGCAGGGCAGACACGCTAGGTCACATGTTTTGTTTGTTGTTTATTACTACCTTCAAATATTACTACTGTGAATATCATTTCCTTCCTGGTACCATATTTGTTTGTTGTCATTTTTGTTTTGTTTATTCTTTTGTTTTTATTTGTTGTATTTTACTGGTACCAATTTGGGTCACCCTCAGACCTTTAGTGGAGGGGGCTTGCCCATTTGGGTATGATGCCTTCCTAAACTGCCCCCAGACCTTGGGGAGGAGGCCTGTTTTAAAGGGAGTCAGCAGTAAAACTTCATTGTATCTTTGCTGAATTGAGGAACACAATGATCCAGCCCTGCCTCCCATGCCGCCTACTCCAGAGATACCAGTTACAGCACCCCAGATCAGTCCATCCCAACCAACCGGGACAGGGCGGGTGCCTCTGTATCTTCTGTATCTTACTTTTTTATTGTGCTGCTTTCTGTATCTTGTTTATTTTGTACTTTTTTATTCTACTGCACTCTCTTACTTTGTACATTTTTATTCTACACTTGTTTATTGTGTACTTTATTCTGCTGCATGCTGTATCTTGTTTATTTTGTACTTTTTATTCTGCACTCTGTATCTTGTTTATTTTGTACTTTTTTATTCTGCACATCTAGTTTATTTTGTACTTTTTTATTCTGCTGCACTCTGTATCTTGTTTATTTTGTACTTTTTAGAAGTGCTAAAAAAAAAAAAACTTTAGTGCTGCTTTACAGCCTTGGCTGCAGTAGAAGGGATGGGGCCCCTACTAAGGGGGTTTCAGAGGCAGTGGAGGTGCCGTTGCACAATGATAATAGCTTACAACAACATTAATTAAAGTAATAATATAATAATAATTACGGCTATTGTGGGACATTATGTTGAAAGTATATATTAATATCTGATAGTATACATATGTGCCAATAATCTTATGTGTATAACTAGAGCACTCGGAGAGCGCAGACCT